CGGATGTGACACTTTGGTTGACAAATAACACCCACTGAAACAGGATTTAAAATAGTCCTGGCGATATTTTGCAACCACCACCAGATAATGACAAAAAATCGATACAGGCGGAGATCACCGACGCTCCACCTACAAAACGAGTCAATGTTGACAGCGGTTCAGGAAGGAATTGATCACAACAGACTAGTCATTTAAAAGCGCATGATTTCGCAATCACAGAGCATCTTATTTTGACTATTTTAGGGATTGTTTTGATTATTGTGCCACCCACCAAGTTTGTTGAAGGTCATTGTGTCACATTTCAAAGGCTAGTTAGTGAGGCCAGAGAGGATTTCACAACTACCAGCAACAAAGTGTGATAAAGAGTCAGCCAGATGTGTGTTGTCAAAGCAATGAACTTTGCATGCGTGGAAGAATCACTAAGCACACCCCCACGTCGTTGGTGTTGATGTGCGCGTGATTGAAGTGACCTCGTCCTCCAAACGAGAATGTTCTCCAGCAATGCAATATCTTGAGGAGAAAGTATGATAAAGTGATTACCTACCAACTTATGAAGAGGATTCAGTAGAAAACAAAGAGTTCTCAGAGCTACTGGTCTGACAACACAGCCTCCAACTACTGCTAGAAGCTAAAAAGGAAGCCCTTCTCAAACCAAACAATCCTAAGGTTGATCATTGGAAAATAATGTCAAGTGCCAGAGAGAAGAGGCGCTGTGTGAGCCTCAGTTCTATGCACCGAGTGGTGGTGAGGAGAGAATGGAGTAAATAGTGTAGCCAATTAAAACTAATCTCCCTTTCAGTCTTTCAACTCCATTCCAAGTCAGAAAATGGGCGGACCAGAGCTTCACTATGCCCGGTAAAGTGAATTACCCTTCATTTATATTAGTAAGATTGTAATTTTATCTCCATCCCTGCCATAAGACCGATTGAAGCCTGTCAAATTAATACCTCCGACAAAGAACTTGCCTCCTAAAATGTTTCTCACCTCCAAGGTGGAAGCCTACAGACGACTTTCAATGTTAACCTTGCATTGAAATCACTTGTTAATAATTTCACTAACTGTGAAAATTTTGCTTTGGGAGTTTAGGGAGCACGAATTGCACATTTGACTGACAAGTGAGTCGACACACCGAAGTAATACTTTTATCAACTATTAATTTTATGGCTTCAAAGCGGATCCGGTTAAAAGCGACTTCAAAAGGAATGACACCTGACCTCAACAAGGACACTCCAAAGGCATTGCAATTAAAGTTGTTAAAACGCTTGCAAACAGCACGATGCTTAAAACAAAAAGGAAAAAAGGATGAACTCAATAACAAAGAAAGCCATCTTCCACAGGTGATTGGTTAAACAATCCAACCATCTCAACAAACCACGCTCCAAAAGTCCCTCTCACAGTGCATTATAGCCTTCACTCTGACATACAGTCTGATTAATTCGAACGAGGAGGTGCGAAAAGGAGGGAGGACGAGGACGAGGACGAGGACACCCGATTCAAATGTTGGATAGGGGGAGGAGGGGG